TAAATGAAGGTCACTTTCCCTCCCTCCCCTTCTCCTTCTGCACCCACCCCACCCAATTCATACAACTTTCCCCTGGCCTGGTCACCAGCATGGAAGACAATAGCCATAGCTCTCAGACTTATATACCGCTTCGCAGTGCTTTTACAGCCCCCTCTAGACAGTTTTACGGAGTCAGCCTTTTGCCCCCCAACAATCTGGGTCCTCGTTTTACCGACCTCGGAAGGATGGAAGGCTGAGTCAACCTTGAACCGGGGTTCAGGATCGAACTGCCGGCAGTCGGCAGAATCAGCCTGCAATACCGCATTCTATCCACCGCGCCACCATGGCTCAAACTCTCTGGGGAACGTCAGGACCCCTAAGATGATGAACTTTTCGGGTGCAAAATTGGAACTGGGCCCTTGGGCTTGGGAACATCCAAACTCCCAGCGACGAAGCAAGAAAACGCCAAGCGCAGGAGAGGAAGAAAAGGAGAGATTCTCAGGAGGAGATCTCCCCCTCCAAAATCTATTTTATTTTATTTTATTTTATTTATTAGTTTGTCAAACATGTACAAGATAGCAATGCCTGGGGTTTTTTTTATTTCCCACCCACTTTCCAAAGCAAACATTGCTCCGCCTGAGGAGCTCCCACTCGCAGCCCCCACCGCCAAAAGTCAATTTTGGCGGGGAGTCGTTCCGCATTTCCTCAACCGGGTTTCTGCCTGGTTAATCAGTAACCCCACATCCCCCGTCTCCCACTCCTTGGAATGGTGATGATCGAGATAATAAATCTAAAGAAGGAGGAAGAGGGAAACCAGTTTTGGTCGGCCGGCAAAACCGTGGAGCATTCAAGCGTTCGCGTCAATATTCCGACTCGCGTCCGCTTAAAAAGCCTGACTGGAGGACCTCAAGGGTGGGGGGGAACCGAAGAATTTCCCCCTCCCCCAATAACGGGAAGAGTTCCTCAAACTCTTTTATCCGGATCCGGCCTACCCGTAAGCAAAGAGAAAGAGTATGATTGTCGTTTTTCGATGCCGTTCTCCCTGCAATGGGAGACAGAGCGTAAAAACAATCGACAAATAATTCTGAAGAAAAAGCTACCATCATGAACATCATCATTGCTGATAATTAATGGCGTATCGATATTGCGGTTTCCCCAAAACGGAGCCACGCAAAACGGAGCCACGCGAGTCGTATTGACCGGGATCCAGATTGTAAATCTAGATGACGGAACGCTGGAGGGCTGGGGGTTCTAGATCTTCTCCACTTGCTCTTTCAACTCTGGTTCAGTTGGAAAGGACCAAGTGGAGGATGGATGGCTTGGCCTGGCTTACCCCATTCGCTGGTTCTTGGACCGGGCCACCGATGAAAAGTGAAGCCAATCTGGATGGGCTTCATCACCCCCCAATGACGTATGAGAAATGCAGAATCCCTTCCCAAGGTTGGAGGGCTCTGCGAAACAGCCACGGGGTGGGAAAAAAAACCAAAGCAGGAGAAGAAGTCCCACCATGGAAGAGGTTCTACGTTCTGCGTTCTAGGTCGAGAAAGGGAACCCCCTTGGCTAGGTCTGGCCAGGACAAGCTTGGCTGAGATCCTCCCAGGCTTAGCTTGAATCTGACAGGGTGGAAAACTACCCACCCACCTGTATTTTGAGGCAGAGAAAGGGGGGGAGAGAGAGAGGGAGGGGGAGAGAGGGAGAGAGAGAAAGGGAGAGAGGGAGAGAGAGAGAGAGAGAGAGGAAGAATGAGAGAGGGAGAGAGAGAGAGAAAGGGAGAGAAAGAGGGAGAGAAGAAGAGAGAGAGGAAGAATGAGAGAGGGAGAGAAAAAGGGAGAGAAAGAGAGAGAGAGGAAGAGAGAGAGGAAGAATGAGAGGGAGAGAGAGAGAGAGGAAGAATGAAAGAGGGAGAGAAAGAAAGGGAGAGAAAGAGGGAGAGAGGAGGAGAGAGGGGGGGAAGAATGAGAGAGGGAGAGAGAAAGGGAGAAAAAGAGGGAGAGGGAGAGAGAGGAAGAATGAGAGAGAGAGAGAGAGAGAGAGAGAAAGGGAGAGAGAGAAGAGAGGAAGAGAAAGAAGGAGGGAGAAGGAGAGAGAAAGGGAGAGAAAGAGGGAGAGAGGAAGAGAAAGAGAGAGAGAGAGGAAGAATGAGAGAGAGAGAGAGAGAAAGGGAAAAAGAGAAAGAGAGAGAGAGGAAGAGAAAGAAGAGGGAGAAGGAGAGAGAAAGGGAGAGAAAGAGGGAGAGAGGAAGAGAGAGAGAGAGATGGGCCATGTTGCTCTGAGGTCAAGGACGGGAAGCACGTAGTCCATGTGCCCCATCCCAAACGGCTGTCTCTGTTCCAGAAACCCCGTACCCGGATTCAAGCTAAGCCTTTCTGAAAACTCCAGGGTGGAAAGGTTGAAAAAGAGCCAAGTTCTGGAGAAATCTACTTGGGCGCGACCTGAGATGACTCACTGGGCCGCTGAGCTCAAGCTGGCGCTGCGTGCAAGTCATCCCTTCGCCTCCAAAATTAAACAAGGGTAGGGCAAAAACCTCCCCTCCCTTTGAGGGGGAGAGCAGCAGCAGGGCAAGCCGGGTGAACGTCAACGATTGTTAGGAGGAGTGTGCGATTGCGGTGACTCCGTTCCTCGGAAAACAACAAAACAACAACAACCATCACCCAAGGGTCTATAGAGAAGAGTCTCATTTCTTTTCTTTTTTTTTTAATCTTCAAAATAATCTCTTGTAAGGTTGCCTGAGCCAAGAATGACGATTGGATTACACCAGATTTCCTCCCCCCCACCCCCGGTAATAAATATAATAATAGCTTGATATAAATTCAGCGATCTGTGTGGCTTCCAACCAACAATTCTGATTTTTCTCCCCCATCATCACAAGTTTTAAGACCCTGCTGGCGTTTTGGCCACCTAAAACTTTCCGTTCCTTTTGCCGAGCTCCTTCTCGAGGGCATTCCTTTTACTTTTGATCTTTATACGTTCTTTTTCACCCAAAGTCTTTTATTCAGTCTCCTTTATCTCTTCCCACCCCTCACCCCCCACTATTCTGAGGGGCCAGAAGGAGAATCCGTGCATCAGATTCCCTTCCCTCCATTTCAATGAGTCAAAGATGGGGCGAGAATGCAAGCGGGAAGAGCATTGAAGCTCCCCCGGCACCAGGCGTCTCACGTAAGCGAGCCAAGCTGCATATCAAACCAGGGAAGAAGAAGAAGAAGAAGAAGAAGAAGAAGAAGAAGAAGAAGAAGAAAGAAGAGATAGGAGATGGAGGAGGAGGAAGAAGAAGAGGAGAAGAAGAGAAGAAGTGGAAAGTGAAGAGAGAAAGAAGAAGAAGGAAGGAGAGGAAGGAGGAGAAGACAGAAGAAGAAACCAGCTAGAACCTTAGCACTCAGATCGAAGATATATGATTGAAGAAGTGGAATTCTAGTCCTAAGATCTAGAACAGAAGAAGAAGAAGAGAAGAAGAAGAAGAAGAAGAAGGAGATGAAGGAGAAGGAGAAGGAGAAGGAGAAGGAGGAGGAGAAGAAGAAGAAGAAAGAAGAAGAAGAAGAAGAAGAAGAAGAAGAAGAAGAAGAAGAAGAACCAGCAACCCTGAGCCCCTTTTCCAATTCTATCCTTCACCTCCTCCCAATGGGCAATGCAATTTATTTACCCCCCCAGAATCAACCACAGCAATTGAAAGATGCCTGGACTTCAACTCCCAGAATTCCCCGGCTGGCTGGGGAATTGTGGGAGTTGAAGTCCACGCATCTTAAAGCTGCCGAGGTTGAAAAGCACCGCCTAGAGCCGCGATGGCGAACCTAGGGCACGCCTGCCAGAGGTGGCACGCAGAGCCCGCTCTGTGGGCACGTGTGCCGTCGTCAGCTGCTCTTCTGGTTTCTGGCGTGCACATCTGCACCGGCCAGCTGGTCTTTAGGGGCGCTGGAGTGCCGGAAAACAGCCCGAAAAATGGCCTGAAAATGGCCCCAAAACAGGCATGTGCGCAGGTTTCTGGCGTGCATACATGCATGCGCATCCCTGTTTGGGCGCTCGGTGCTGAAAAGGTTCGCCATGGCTGTCCTAGAGCAGGGGTCTGCAACCTTAAACACTCAAAGAGCCATTTGGACCCGTTTCCCACAGAAAAGAAAACACCGGGAGCCACAAAACTTGGGTGGGTGTGGCCAACTCGACGTCGCTCACTTCCACCAGTCACATGACTCCCTCTCTGTATCTCTCTGTGCCTCTCTCTCTCTCCCGCTCTCTCTGTATCTCTCTGTGTCTCTCTCTCTCTCCCGCTCTCTGTATCTCTGTCTCTCTCTCCCGCTCTCTCTGTATCTCTCTGTGTGTCTCTCTTTCTCCCGCTCTCTCTGTATCTCTGTGTCTCTCTCTCTCCCGCGCTCTCTGTATCTCTCTGTCTCTCTCTTCTGCTCTCTCTGTATCTCTCTGTGTGTCTCTCTTTCTCCCGCTCTCTCTGTATCTCTGTGTCTCTCTCTCTCCCGCTCTCTCTGTATCTCTCTGTGTCTCTCTCTCTCTCCCGCTCTCTCTGTATCTCTCTGTCTCTCTCTCTCTCTCCCGCTCTCTCTGTATCTCTGTGTCTCTCTCTCTCTCCCGTTCTCTCTGTATCTCTCTGTCTCTCTCTCCCGCTCTCTCTGTATCTCTCTGTCTCTGCCCCAGCCGCTTCTCCATCCCCCGCCGTTGCCCTTACCTTTTCAGGCCAGGCGAGGAGTGAGGGGAGGGCGAGGGGCGGGCCCAGCCAGTGGTGGGATCACCTAACAGGGAGCCACAGCAGAGGTCCCAAAGAGCCGCATGCAGCTCCAGAGCCGCAGGTTGCTGACACCTGGCCTAGAGCAACAGTTCGACCTCAGAGAAATTAGGCTCCGTGCCTCTCGCCAGCCTCTGTACCAATTTACACCCATCTTACTTTTTCGCCAGCCTCGATTCGGATTCTGGCACTTTGAAGACTTCCGGGGAACGAAGTAGTTTGGCTCGCTCTTTAAACATCGTTACCAGACAGTGTTAGAGTACACTGACAAAATCCAGCACTGTCTAGTAAGATGTCCACAGAGGACCACGATCCGGTAGTTGTCGGAGGAACGAGTTGGAGAGGAAAAAGTCAGTTGCTCGTAAAACGCCAGCGTTCCACGGCGCCTTCCTTTACAGCTGTAAAAAAATTCATATCGATTCGTCCGAGACAGTAAAGGAAGAACAGGTGGAAGACTCAAGAGAGGCGGGGTTCGAGTAACAAAGGGAAGGATTTCGAAGAAAACAAAATCAAGACGAAATCTGCAATGCAGATTCGGGGCGGTGGGTTTCAACATTTAACGAATCTTCCCCATCAAGGTTGTTCGGGAGGTGGCCTGGTTTCTGGAGAAAATTTCAGGAGACATTTTTGGCCAAATTAAGCTGTTGTGAACAGTAAGCAGCTTAAGCAAGGGGTGTGCATCTGTGTGTGTTCTGTGGGTACAAATATGTATAAAAATAGATGGGCCACTTTTCAGCAAGAGCCCTCTTTCTTTAGTATCTGCCAGGTATGTGCAAACACCCCTATAATACTGAAATATCTTGTGGGCACAGCTAAGCTGAAAAGATACGGATGGGAACGTGGTTATTAGGCAGCTGATGCAGGCACGTTCCCAAAATTTGGGGTTGCTCCGCTTGCTAACATGCTAGTGCAGAGCATCAGTTGGCCGCCTGAGTTGAGAAAGGAAAGCCAATTGTGTGGGGCAGCTTTACACCGAAGTAAACCCCACCAAGGGGATTCTTCATAGGGACTACATCCTAAAGATGGCGAGAGCTTCAAATCTTGGCTCAAAGATTACGTTCTCGCTCCAAACACCACGTCTTTAGAGAGAAAAAGAAAAGAATATATTTTTTTCTTCTTCCTGAATCCGCACCATTTCCTTGCCTGTTTCCTCTCCTTCTTCTCCAGTTTTGGCCACAAACGGATCCGTTTTTTCCTCTCTCTCCCAAAGCGGGGTCCACGTTGAAGGCGAGACGGCATCAACATCTTTACCAGGCAGTATTAGAAACAGATAAAACATCCAACGCTGCCCAGTAAGATGCCAATGGCTTCTCAAAATGGATATGCTGGCTGGCTGGCTGGCTGGCTGGCTGGCTGGCTGGCTGGAAGGAAGGAAGGAAGGAAGGAAGGAAGGAAGGAAGGAAGGAAGGAAGGCAAGAAGAAAATATTTCCAAAATATCAGCCAGAGGGTGGGAATTTCCCCCTCTTCCTCTCCCTGGTTTGATACCAGGGTAGGCACCAAGCAAAGCTGTAGGGAAGTAGAAAGAAACGGCAGCAAACCTGAAAATATTTGGGGGTGGAATTCTACTTTTCGATCACAAGCCATGTAGGTTTCATTGGGTAGTCAGAGCCCAAAACCCGAATTTTTAAACTACACCTGGTTTGCGCGCTCTTCCAGACGGGAGTTTGCGTAATCCTAGTTTAAAATCCAAAACGATAGATAGCCCAAGATGTTAAACTGCTAAACCGGGATTTACAAGCTACAGTGGCTCCAGAGCTAAGACAGGCCTTTGAGGGGGGGAAAAAAACAAACAAACTACGTTCTAGTTCATTGTGATATCTGAACGAGAGGTTGATTACGCCAAAAGCTTGAAACTGGACCAATAAAACTCAGTTCAGCTCAAATGAAGCACTGCCAGCTTTTCTTTTTTTGGGGGGGGGAGAGGGGGGAGAAAGTCTATTGGTTTTTATTTCCATCGCTACCACGCATTGGAGGCCAGGGAAAAACGCCAAGACAAGAGAGGGCTCCTTCAGCCGGAGCTGGCACAGCAAAGCTCGCTCTTCGAAATGCAAAACGTACGATTTTGGGGAGGAAAAAAACCCACAAACACACCCACAAACACACACACCCTGCATCATTTGCAAACCCGGTTGCAAATCGACGGAAAACCCACGCAAGAGATTCATCCCGTTAAAAAATTGCGCTTTGCAATAATAGGAATTTACGCTGCTAACTTTATTACACAAGGTCAATTTTTAATTTCTGTTTCTCTCGCCACCTTCCCCTTTCTCCTTCCCGGCTCTCTCCTGATGGAGCCAGTGCTGGTCTTCGCTTCCAGTAGAAGGAAAAATAGGAGGGGAAAAACCCCCAAAATCAAACAGAGCAATTGGCCTAAAGGTCCATCTTTTTTAAAAAAAAAAAAAAGGAGCAGAGACCAAGCCATTACGAAGTTTCTCTCTCCCCTTGGCAAGATTTTTGGAAAAACAAATTGCCGTGTCGAGTGGACAAATTACACAGGCAAGGTTTTGAAGTCTGATTCCAATATTTCTCTCCCTTTTTCTCTCCCTTTGCAGGTGTGTGTTTGTGTGTAATGTAATGTAAATTAATTTTACATTAGTTAAGGTCACAAATACTTCTGCTAGATTAGTCACTGGAAGGAAGAAAGGTGGTTTTCTCTCTCTCTCTCTTTTTAAGCGATTAAACTCCACTTTTTTCAAAGTTTGCCTGAAGGAGTGTCTATTTGCTTTCAGAAACCCGGATCACAAGAGAAAAATTCCCGCATTGTCTTAAAAGGAATTAAAGAGACTTCCGCAGCCGAGGGAAAATTATTTCGACAAATGACAGGCAATCCTCAGCTTACAACCACAATGGATCCCCCACAAATTGATGTTTGTTAAGTGAGAAATTGGTGAAGGGTGAGTTTGGCCCCGTTTTACGACTTTTCTCTCCCCGCATTTCTTAAGCGAATCACCGCGGTTCTTAAAACGAATAACCCGGTGGTTGAGTGAATCCGGTTTCCCCATTTGACTTCGCTGGTTAGAATGTCGCCAAACCGGATCGCGTGACTCGGGGACGCTGCGACCGTCGTAAATGTGAGTCAGGGGGTCAAGCATCCCAATGTAAATCACGCGACTACGGGGGATGCTGCAACGGTCGTTAAGCGTGAAAAATGGTCATTTTTTTTCAGTGCCGTTGTAACTTCCACAAGGGTCACTAGATGAAATGTGGTAAGTCGAGGACTGCCTTTGGCTCTTCATGGACTCATCCTGACAGAGGGCAGGAAACCCCAAAATACAAGCCGAAACTCAAAAGACACCAAAATCCGCCAGTTTTTTTTTTTTTCCTCTCCAACTACAAGACTTAGCAAAAGCTAAATTTATTCAGCTATGGGAGCCAGGAACAATCAATCTCTGCCTCTGAACATGTAAAATGTTGGTAATAATGTAATTTGGACACATGCTTCCAAGGGGCATCTAAATTCTTAAAATTCTGCATTTGAGAATTGGCTCTGGGATGCCCATCAAGGATCCTTTCCTTATATTATCATTACTGCTATTGTTCCTATTCTTATTCCTATTCCTATTCTTATCATCATCATCATCATCATCATCATCATTCTTTGTATACGGTCCCTCCAAGGAAGAAAGATGCCCCATTTGATAGCATTAAAGTGGGCAGGATCTCCAATTGGAACCAAATCCTTGGTCGGCAACTAGCGTGCTAACTGACCACTTTGGCAAAAAAAAAAAAAAAAAAAAAAACCTGAGAAATGGGCCAATTCCATACCGTGTTTTCCCGAAAATAAGACCGGGTTCTTATATTATTATTTTTTTGCTCCAAATGACCTTATTATAACCTTATTTTCTGGTTTGGTCTTATTTGGGGGGAAATACGGTACTAAATGCATCCATCTAGCTGACAATCTTAACTGGGGCTTATTTTGGGGGTAGGGCTTATATTACGAGCATCCTGGAAAAAATCATGCTAGGATTTATTTTCCAGTTGGGTCCTATTTTCGGGGAAACAGGGTAATTAGCATTCTTCCAAATCTGTTGCTTTCAGGCATGGGAACTTTTAGTGCTAGGGGAAGAATTATTATTAGGCGGTGGCTATTATTCAGAAGTCTCTGCTGGGTTGACCAGTAGAGCCCTTCAAGGTGTAAATCCTACTGAGTAATAGAGATTACTTCCTGGAAAAAAAAAAAGGACAAAGGAAACTAAACTGCCTCCTTTGCGATTGCTCAACAGCCCTTCTATGTCAGCGGGGCCTAGCGATATTTTCCTTTTATTGTTGCTAAACCACGATTGTTCCATTTCTTCTTCTCAGCCCACCTTCATACAAAGGGACCCATTCAGTCTTTTTTTACGTGACCGCTTCAATAAATGTCAGATCAAAACTCAGATCGAGAGCCAATTCTGGCAAACCGGAGCCTAGGATGATAACAATGCTTCGTTTGCATGAAAATACCCAAGTAAATTTTCTATTTTGAATGCCTTTCCTCTCCAAGCAGCGGGTTTAAAATGCACTTTCTCTCTCGCTCTCGCTCTCTAAGCAAGCATTCGGAAGCTCATTTCAAAATCGGCACGGTGGGGGTTTGCAAAATTTGGACAGGTGCAAAGCCGTCTTTGCAATCTTTGTGACTACTCGGTTTTGCCTCTCTATCCCTTTGATTTGCAGGGATCCAGAAAACATTTCCCAAATCCTGAAAAGAGGTCTAGATAATGCCTATATTAAAATAAAGAAGGAAGAAGGAAATTCTCCTCTCTTTGTGCATTTATTTGGCTACAAGGATATTTTCTTTGCTGACATCTAATTGGGGCCATCTCTACTTCTTTTCCCCCTGATTATGAGGTAGCTGTCAAAAAGAAAGAAAGAAAGAAAGAAAGAAAGAAAGAAAGAAAGAAAGAAAGAAAGAAAGAAAGAAAGAAAGAAAAGAAATTGAATCCGGTTGACAAACCAGGAAGCTTTCATTTAATCCATACAAAATAAACTGTTGCCTTTTTATCTCCCACGCCTGAACTGCTCCCTGCCAAACCAGCATTTGTGGATTGCAAAAGAAAGAAAAATAGAAATAATGAGGGGTTTAAACCAATGGCTGTTTTCTGGCCTTTTTAAAAAAAAGAAAAAAAATCTCTTTTTTAACAGCTTGTTTTGTTTTTGTTGCCAGTGTTTCTTCTGAAAGTCTGCAATGGAAAGCAGCAAAAAACAACAACAATTTAGACAAAGCCCAGAAGACGGTGGCAAATAATTGCACTGCCAGAGACTAAATCTCTGAATTGGCGCCTTTGTTTCCAGACTTTTAAGCAGAATGGACCAGGATTTGCCTTTCCAAAGGGCGGAGTCTGGAGGACAAGGTTACCTGGAAGCTCCACCCCTTCTCCCTAAGCCACACCCCTACCTTTCTAAAGTAAGCAGATCAGAATGATTTGGGATACCATTAAGGAAGGGGTGGGGGGGGAAATCTGTTTCTGGAAAGTGACTCTACCCCAGATGTTGCTTTTCTGGGCAGGTGGGCCAGTTTGCAATTTGGAGGGGGGGCATTTCTCATCAAACTGGTCCCCCCATGGCTGCAGAAAGGACCTCCCCCTACTTTCCAAATTAAGGCCTTTTTTTTTGTTTGTTTGTTTCTCCATCAAAGAGTCTGAGCTCTGAATGCAAGAGCTGGAGAAATCTCTGGGGCTGCGTTCTCAGTTGTGATTTTGTGCCTTCGGATAACAAAAGTTAAAGACCAAATCCAAAAGGCTTTTGCCCCTTAGATAAGGGACCCCTTTTTTTCTGCACGGGGCAAATGGAAAAGACGCCAAGAGTCAAAAAATCTCAGATTTGGATAAGCTGGAAGGAGTTTTTTGCCTTTCAATCCAAGGGAAAAGCCGATGGAGGTTTTATAGGATTGCTCGCTCTTGAAAAAGACCTTTGCTGATTATCCAAAGCTTGGGATGCAAACTTCCTACCGATTTTGATTACAAAATGATGGCTAATTTTCATAATGTTTGGCTTTAAACGATCTATGCCAATATGATTGGGGAATAGTTCTCCCAACTTCTATTTGCAGAGATTAATATTAAAGGTTTTGAATAATTTCCATGTACACTGTGATCTTCCTTCCTTCCTTCCTTCCTTCCTTCCTTCCTTCCTTCCTTCCTTCCTTCCTTCCTTCCTTCCTTCCTTCTCCCTCCCTACCTCCTTCCTTCCTTCCCCTTTCCTTATTCCCTAAAACTTCTTCACTTTGTTTCCTCTTCCTTCTCTCTCTCCCTTTTTTCCTTCCTTCCTTCTTTCCCTCTTCCCTATAATTTCTTCCCTTTGTTTCTTTTCTTTTCCCTCTCCCTCCCTCCTTCCTTCCTTCGCCTTTCCTTATTCCCTATAACTTCTTCACTTTGTCTCCTCTTCCTTCTCTCTCCCCTTTTCCTTCCTTCCTTCCTTCCTTCCTTCCTTCCTTCTTTCATATAACTTCTTCCCTTTGTTTCTTTTTTCTTCCCTCCCTTCTCCCTTCTCCCTTCTCCCTCCCTCCCTTCCTTCCCTCTTTCCTTCTTCCCTATAACTTCTTCCCTTTGTATCTTTTCTCTTCCCTCCCTCCTCTCTCCTTCCTTCCTTCCTTCCTTCCTTCCTTCCTTCCTTCCTTCCTTCCTTCCTTCCTTCTGCCACATGCTATTAGGAAGTTCACAAAAGGTAGCATTTGGGTGCTCGAAGTAAACACGCCTCCGCTATTTATCATTCCGCAGGTGGCAAAAAGCACAATTTGACAAGAAATCAGCCAGCTTCTACCATATGACAACACCATTTCTATCACTTTTCTCAAAGATCTTTTTTTTGGGGGGGGAGGGGTGTCATTCTGTATTTTGATTGGCTTATTTGGATCCCTCTTCAGCACCCCACAACCATCTTCCCACATGGGTCCTCCTCTTTACCAACACATTCGGACCCGTAAGCCTGAGTTAAAATAAGATAGCAGTCTTCCGATCTCTCAGGGGCGGCCACAAAGAAGAGGGAGTCAAGCTATTCTCCAAAGCACCTGAAGGCAGGACAAGAAGCAATCAAGGAGAGAAGCAACCTAGAACTAAGAATAAAGTTCCTGCCAGTTAGAACTATTAACCAGTGGAAGGACTTGTCTTCAGAAGTTAAGGACCTGCAACTTCTACATTCACAGGTAGTCCTCGCCTTACGACCATCAGAATTTCCGTTGCTAAGTAGAGCAACTTGCCTCCGGGAGTTGTGAATGCTCCATCACTGGAGGCTTTTATAAGAAGAGATTGTCACATGTCTGGAATGGTATCAGGTCCTCCTGCCTGAGCAGGGGGTTGGACTAGAAGACCTCCAGGGTCCCTCCCAACTCTGTTCTTCTATTAAACCGCCCATCATTCAGATCTCCGCCATTGTTGTTTCTCTTAACTTCTGCCCACAGGGCCCACAGACTCTCCCACCCCAAGGGCAAAGGGAACATTAAACCAGCTTTTCCATGTTACAACTCTCTTGGGCCGAGATTACCAGCGGGAGGAACGCCACGTTCCAAAGCATGTACTCTGGAGGCCGTTTCCTAAACCGCCAACAGGCTCATGAGCCATTAAAAAAAAAACACCCACATAGTTACTGCTCAAAGGGGCTGCCGGTGGGAAGGCAGAAAAAACAAAAAAACAAAAAAACCCTCTTTAAAGCAAAGTGGCAACCGGGGAGACCCTTTAAGAAATGCTCCGGCCTCAATTTTCTCCTAAAGTTCAAACGGGGGCCCCACTTTCTTAAAGTTGGCCCTTCTGCAGAGGCAAAGGGGGAAAAAAGAAAGAAAGAAAGAAAGGAAGGAAGGAAGGAAGGAAGGAAGGAAGGAAGGAAGGAAGGAAGGAAGGAAGGGTGGGTTGGAATCACGCCCCCAGCAAGGCAAGGAAACAGCACCCTGCCTTTGTTGCAGGTAACAAACGTTGACAAAAAAAAGGGGGGGGGGTCTTTTTTTGCTTTTTTTTTTTATCCAACAAAGAAAAGCCCCCCCCCCCCCCTTTTTTCAGCGTTCTGGAAGCACATAATTTCCAGACATTAAGTTACCCACAGAATGCAAATCTACCTGCACTGTTGTCCAGGTGACGAGTCTTTGGTTAATCATCACCCCTTTGGGCCAATGCTTGAGCCGGAGGCAAGGAGGCAAAAGGGAAGTGGGAGCAGACAATGAAAAGATTGAGAAGAGGGGGTAACTTCTCTTTCTTTCTTTCTTTCTTTCCTTCCTTCTCTTTCTTTCTTTCTTTTTCTTTCTTTCCTTCCTTCCTTCCTTCTTACCTCCCTCCCTTTCTCTCCTCCCTTCCTCCCTCCCATTCCTCCTTCTCTATTTTCTTTTTCTTCTTCCTTCTTCCCTCCCTTTTTCTCCTTCCTTCCTCCCTCTTCTTCCTCCTTCTCTATTTTCCTCCCACCCACCCTCTTTCTCTATCTTCCTTCCTTTTCTTTCTTTCTTTCTTTCTTTTTCTTTCTTTCCTGCCTGCCTGCCTGCCTTCCTTCTTCCCTCCCTCCCTTTTTCTTCTCCCTTCCTCCCTCCCCTTCCTCCTGCTCTATTTTCTTTCCTTCCTTACTTCTTCCCTCTTTTTCTCCTTCCTTCCTTCCTCTCTCCCCTTCCTCCTTCTCTATTTTCCTCCCACCCTCCCTCCTTCTCTATCTTCCTTCCTCCCTCCCTCCCTCCCTCCCTCCCTCCCTCTCTCTCTTTCTTTCTTTCTTTCTTTCCTGTCTTTCTTCCTTCCTTCTTCCCTCCCTCCCTACCCTTCCTCCTTCTCTATTTTCCTTCCTTCCTTCCTTCCTTCCTTCCTTCCTTCCTTCCTTCCTTCCTTCCTTCCTTCCCTACCTTTTTCTCCTTCTTTCCTCCCTCTCTCCCCTTCCTCCTTCTCTAATTTCCTCCCTCCCTCCCTCCTTCTCTATCTTCCTTCCTCCCTCCCTCCTGTTTTGAGCCCCCTTTTCTGGGGTAGCTGACACACCGCGTTCCCAGTGGCTCTTACAAAGACATATATCCATAATCTTCCAAACTGGGAATGCTGTGCTACTGGTTTCTGATCCAGGTTGCTCCAGGCCTCGAAAGGAATGTGAGCCAAGAGGCTAGGAAAGAGAAACGAAAAACACACACACAAAAAAAACCACCACTCACTTCTAACTTGTTAGTTAACCTGCCCGGCTAAGTCTTAATCAATAGCCAAAGAGGCCAAGAAGAACAAAGAATGAGAAAAGAAACCTCTTATCTGGAAGCGTCATCAAATAAATAGCTTCTGGAGTAGAAAGGGACAGGTTGGCCTTGTTTGCTCGTGGTTTTGAGGGGGGAGCTGAAAGCTCTTTCCCCCTTGCTGATGCATGCTTCAGTGATAGCATCTTTGCCCGTTTAGATTTACAAAAAAAAAAAAGCTTTATTGAGAAAGGGAAGGGGTGGAAATTTCAATGACCTCTTGAAGCCTTTCTGGGAGACTCTCCTTGAGCACTGAAGAGGTTAAAAACCAAGCCTCTTCTTTTCTGTATTTTTTATCAACAAAATACAGATGACCACCACCCCCTCCCTAAAAAAATCATAAAACTCCTGCGGCTTTCCTATATCCCTCAAATTCTTCCCCAAACTTCTTATTAACTACTTTTGCTGCCGTGTCTAGCGTGCGGCTCCAAATTTAAGCCTACCAATTTGGGCTTGGCGGTTGCCATTTTTTGTTGTGATTTTTTCCCCCCCCTTCTTTCAAACTTCATGAAACAAGGCCCTTCACGGAACAGATTTGGGACTTTGAGAAGAAAAAGTTCTGAAACCAACGTATGGAGCCCGTCAGAGGTCTTTCGCAGACTTCATTCGGCCCTTCAAACAATTGGGGAGCACTTTGGTCAAGGAGGAGACAAAACGGACTTTTTTTTGTCATCGCCTCCCTCCCTCCCTCTCTCTCTCTCTCTCTCTCTCTCTCTCTTTAAAATTATGATTCCATTTCAAAGTTTCTTTTGAATGGCGACCGCTCGGTTGACTTACTTACTGGCAAAGTAAGTTTTCCTTTTTTTTTTTTTTTAAACAGAGCAAGTCTCGGCTTTGGAGTCTTAAAAAACATGCCATTTTTTCCTCGGCACCTGCTTGGCACGAAACCGGGTTTCGTGCCAGAGGACCTAAACATAAACTTCATAAACAAGACGGGGATCGGCCTGGCGAAAGTTGCCGCTTTTTTTAACAGCTTCCTGAAGTTGTCTGTTTGGTTGGGAGAAGTGAACCCGGAGGGCAAATCTAACCCAGGCGGTAAAAAAGATTTTCCCCATTAAATACAGAAAATACGGGGCGAAATCCATCCAGCAACCGATCCTGCAGGGATTGGCTTACATGCTTAATTTTACTTCTCATTTTTAGGGTAGGTTGCTCAAACTTTTTCAACAAGGAAACGAGCAGAGGCAGGACAGAAAAAAAAAAAACCCCAAGGATTCTTATAATCCAATGAATATATGGAAGAATTTCCTCCTTTCTGGTGGCTTGGGGAGGAGTGGCTGCGCTCAACGGTCCTGAAGACCTTGCAGAAGCCAAGAGGTTCAGATTCGATATTAGTTTTATTCCAAATGCCGAGAACATCTGGAAGGGAGAATTAATTGTGTAGGCACCATTCAAACCACTTGATAAAAATTATTAAGAGCCTTGGTAGTACAGTGGTCTAAGGCACCCTATTATTAAACTGGTTATTAAGACCAGCTGCCTGCAATGACTGCAGGTTCGAATCTCGCCAAGGCTCAAGGTTGACTCAGCCTTCCATCCTTTCTAAGGTAGGTGAAATGAGGACCCAGTTTGTGGGGGCAATAAACTGACTTTGTATAAATATATACAAAAGGATGAAGGCTATTGCTTAATGCATTGTAAGCCACCCTGAGTCTCCGGAGAAGGGCGGCATATAAATCAAATTAAAAAAAAAAAAAAATTAAGGGAAGACATCAAGATGGAAACGTGCCTGGCACACATTCAAATCTTTACTGGTTCACCAATATTACAAGCCACCATTGAATAAGTTGCACAAAGTCCCGGATCACCCAGTAAAACGATAAATAGGGCGCATAAGGGCACATAAAACCCGTAAGGAGGTACATAAACCAGACATCTCTCTCGTTTCGATCAAACAAACAAACAAACACTGTTCACTTCGGAGGCCTGGCTGAAATGACTGGCTAAGGAGCATTAAACTTCAAGAGTCTTGTAAATCTTATTTTGCCCCTCAATCCTCCTCTCTTAATTGCTAACATTTATTTTTCTGCTTAATTTCTCTTTTTAACAGCCACTATTCTCAAAACGCTTTGAAAAGACGGCAACCTGCGTCTGAGTTGCCTTTCTGTTTGTTAAGTAAACTGGGGAAGTCTGAAAGATCTGTTTATTTATGAATTTACTTGTTTTTTTTTGTTTATTTTAAGAAAAGTTATTTTTTTAAAAAAAATAATCCGAAAGGCAGATTCATGTCGAGTCTGAAGCTCAAGAGGGCAATTAAAATTAACTTTTTTTTTTAAACGAGGAAAAATTTGGCTCTCGACGTGATTTGAGGCCACTCATACTGACCTCTGTAATTCTCCTAGCTGGGGGCACATCTGGACTTGTGAACAGCTGCACAATGCAAGTCCCCCTAACAAAAACTTCGCTAACTCAAAACTGTGCCAGCAATTGTGGCTTCTGTTGGTGGAGTCAGTGGCCAGAGGGACAGATAAATCTTATTCAAGAGTTTCCAATGATGTGGAAAACACCTTTTTCTTCTAATTATTTGTCGGCCCACTTCAGGGTTGCAAAACGCCCATCCGAACAGCATCTTCCCATTCCCAAAAAAAATAACAATTTTTAAAGAAGCAAAGCACAGCCTCCCACCCACGCAGCAGAACAGGGAAACAAAAATGGCTTTTTTTTAAAAAAAAAAAAAAAAAAGGAAAGACCAGCGAGAAAATGTTCAAGGAACTACGTTATGGCCAGGTGGAGGCTAAGCAAAGGACAACTTCTCCTAAAGTCAACCCACCGCTTCCTGCTTAGTCCCTCGCCCAACCCCAACGGTCCTTGACCCAAGGCCAAAATTCAGGTGCCGCCAGAAAACGGCCATATTGGTCGGCCACGTTCCTCCCGACGAGCAGAAGAGCGGGAAGAGCTCAAAATCCCACCTGGTGATGGGGTGAAGGTCGGGGAGTGGGGGGGAGGCTTCAAACCTGCTCCTATCGAGGTCTCCTTCTCAGAGGCCAACCAGATCCCGCAAGCAGAGGCAGGTGGAGTTTGGCAGAGAAAGGGCTCTCGGCCAAGCGCGAACAGGAAGGAAGAGCCTCCATTACGTTCCCTCCAAGCAGGAGTTGCAAAAGGTCCAAGAGAGAAAGAAGGAGAAGAAGGAGAAGATCAGTTCAAAATGGCCCCTTCCAGGCTGCCACAACCCTGGAAAAGGTTCACTTGTGGCTTTGGTTCCGCCCAAAATCTCTTTATTTTTTTCCCCATCATCTACAGATTCTGATCTACAGCTCGGAGAGTCCCCCAAGGTCACCCCAGTATCGATGGGAAGAAGGATTGTCCCGATTAATTACTCCCTTCTCCCAATAATCGGGGATCAGGCCAACAGAGTTTCTACGGAAAAGACCGAACCAAAAAAAAAAAAAAAAACCAGCCAAGAATGGAAAAGCCGCAATCCGAGAAAAAGAAAAGGCATTTCGAACCCAACAACCGTTACAAACCCAGGCCTCTGGCTTCCTTGTCACCTCCTTGTCCCCCCACAAATGGTTTTTCGCCCCCCGCATTCGCCCGCGATCCCCGCAAACCTGCCTTCTTTGTCGAGATCAAGAGAGACGCTTACCTTTTCTCCCATTGGCTGCCTCAGATTGGATTACCTGTTTCTATGCCTCTACCTGCCCCGACTGGTTTGGCTAGTTGTAAGGTGAATGTTTGAATTCATGAAATTTTAGCCTACCCCTCACCCACCCTGCCTCCCATCTCTAAGTAGACAAAAACCTGATCCGCTTCTACGGAACTTCCTCCAGTTTAACCTGGGGAAAGAAAAGAGCCGAAGAAAGAAGGAAGAAAGAAGAAAAAAGAAAGAAGAAAGAAGAGAGGAGGAAAGAGGGAGGAGAAGGAGAAGGAGAAGGAGAAGGAGAAGGAGAAGAAGAAGAAGAAGAAGAAGAAGAAGAAGAAGAAGAAGAAGAAGAAGAAGAAGAAGAAGAAGTCAACACACCTAGATGAGACATGTATGTACCAGCCAACCGCAACACCACTTAAGCTCCCATTTTACGCTGATCCGACATACGACGGCAGACTTCTTGCAGGAAAGACGCTAACAAAGCCAGCATCGCCACTGAAATGATTTGGGTGTCAGGCAACAGGAAAAAAAAATTTTTCCCCCACCCAAGCATGGGAAACCAATAAATACATGAGCCAAGCGAGTCGAGGCAGGCCTCTGGCGAGCGACTTCGGCTTCGAAGCTTTCCACTCCGCGACACTGCCGATGCGGGGTTTTCGTGGGCGCGAAAGCGTGGGGAGGACACGTCGTCGTCGTCGTGGCGGGACAGCCGGGCCTTCGCCAAGCCCGCAAGATGGTGGAAGGAGCTCGGTGGACTTGAAACGACAGACCAGGAAAGAAAAACCGAATCCTTAAAAATAAATAAATTTTTTAAAAATTAAAAAAAAAAAAAAATAAGCGAAGAGAGGCGCGGCATCGTGGGGTGCTTGTCGGAGCTTGGCGTGTCTGGCTTGTTTAAGCTGGAATAGGAGAAAGACAGAGAAAGTCTAACAGCTCCACTTACATGTAGCTCCTCGACCCCTCCCTGGGCAGGTGGATTTTCCGCGCCCGACCAATCTCTTTGCCTCTAGCCATAAACAGGTGTGTCCTGCCATCTTGGGATAGGATTGGGATGGGGGAAGGGTCTGATATGATCTAACGGAGGACCCTACGGCGGCTTTGAAACCTGCCCACCACAAAGGGGGCTCTGTTCCAGCCCTGGGAGGAAAAAAAAAAAAAGGAAATTTATCCTGGGTCGAAATGGGTGACTTTTGTGCCCACAAATCCCGTGTGAGTCACAAGTGCAATTCCCTTTTATTTGCTTTTTTAAAAAAAGCAGGTTAAATGGTTTTTTTTTTGCAACCTGGGTGCAACCTTTGGGCAAAACCATTTTTTAATTTTTTTTTTTGCGGGGGGGGAGAAATCAAATTCTCATCCCAGCCAGCCAACATCCTTGCCGCAAACTGGAAGCTGTGTAGAAAAACGGGGCCATCCATTCAGTGGCGGGTGCGCCCGCTGTTCCCTGAAGACAGTTTCGTGGTCGATTCCGGTTTCGAAGAATGCAGCCCTCGCCGTACCTTTTAAACGGCAAATATCCAGATTTTACAAAGCAAGCATCGGCTTGGACCGCCGTGGCTACAACAGGCTAGAAGATGCCTTGGTTTCATAGCATTTTGAGGCAGTTGGGCCAAACTTTTTCCCCAAGCTGAGAGAGGAGCCCCTTCAAGAGCTAGTAAGGGGCTGCTAAGACGTCAATTGCAAGAAATGCTGAAACGTTCGTGGGACAACACTGGCGGAGCCCAATAAATAATTTTGGGGGGGCTGGGCGGGGCCAGAATGTAAACAGTGGGGGTTTCTGGGGAGAAAGAGGTCAGAAAAGGCAAGATGGCTGCTGGAGTTCAACCACCATAAGGGTGGCGATGGGAGGCCTAAGGGTTGGGGGTCTCGACTGCCATTTGTGTGTGGGTTTTTTTAAAATACACACCACACACACACATAGGCACTGTGGGTGTCGGTATTTCGAACACAGGAGGCAGACGGCGGAACTGATGCTTCAGGAGATCCACTTGGGCTGCCACGACCCAACGCAGAAAAAGAGCCACGTTTACGATCGCAAGAAAAATAACTGTAGTGAGTGCAGCTTCTTTTAGGGCTGAGCTGAGGTTGGAGAGGTAACCTGTTCTTCCCTGCACGAGTTTCTGCTCTGGATTTGCCTCCCGTCTTGCCCCCTTTGACAAGGCGAGCCTGTCATTCAGTCACATCTCCGATATTACAGGTAGTCCTCGGCTTACGAGAGCTCGTTTAGTGACCATTCCAAGTTACAACAGCAGTCCAAGTGACTTCTTTTCACACTCACGACCCTTGCACAGTCACGTGGCCAAAATTCAGAGGCTTGGCAACTGACTCACATTTATGACGGCTGCAAGGTCCCAGGGTCATGTGATTCCCCTTTGGCGACCCTCTGACAAGCCAAGCCAGATTCACTTAACAACCATTTTACTAACTTAACCACTGCAGCGATTCACTTAAAAAGGGGCAAGGAAGGTCGTGACATGGGACCAAACTCGCTTTAGTAACTTTCTTGCTTAGGAACAGAAAAATTTGGGCTCCGTTGTGGTTGTGGTCGTAAGTCGAGGACTACCTGTCTTCCATTGTTCCCAGCACAGAAGCACGCAGGCAGTTCAGTTGTTAGAGGAGGCCGCCTGGTGTGTCTCTAAATGAAATGGTCTTCTTGGGCAGTGGTGGGTTTCAAAAATTTTTACTACTGGTTCTGTGGGTGTGGCTTGGTGGGCGTGGCTTGGCTTGGTGGGCGTGGCAGGGGAAGGATACTGCAAAATCTCCATTCCCACCCCTCTCCAGGGGAAGGATACTGCAAAATCCCCATTCCCTCCCCAATCCAGGGGAAGGATACTGCAAAATCCCCATTTCCTCCCGATCAGCTGGGACTCGGGAGGCAGAGAATAGATAGGGACGGGGCCAGTCAAAATTTTTATTACCGGTTCTCCAAACTACTCAAAATTTCCACTACCGGTTCTCCAGAACCGGTCAGAACCTGCTGAAACCCACTTCTGGGTCTACTGGCTGGAAATCAAGCAACACTTCTGAAATAAATCATGCGGAGGAATAGAGTGTGGATAGACCAAGGTACAGGTAACCTCACGCAATAAACAGGTATATATTCTGCTTTTTTGCCGGCGTCATAATAGGCGGCAATGTGCTGATGAAGAAAAGGGTGGTAGTTGGATCTGCAGTGGGTCACATTCTGGCGTCTGGTCTAATTTGTAGAAATTAGGGATCCGGGAACAATTGGGATCGTCTCTCTGTGAAGAGACATTAAAGTCACAGAGCAAAGCAGGAAGACGGGCTTGATGGGCAACTTAGAGGCTACAAAACGTCTCCAGCCATTAGAAATCGTGAGCCTGAGACTGCGCTGGTAGTGTCTCCGGCAGCAAATGCTGGAGCAAATTTCAAGCTTTGACGGGCCTTTTGAGGGGCTCACAATCCCCCCACATTGCAAACCAGCATGGCTGTAGGACTTCTCTATTGCCACCTTTCTTCCCTCCCCCCAAAGAATTCCCTTGAATTTTTCATGAGACACCTATAGATTTGGCAAGAAGGACTGAAGTCTCACCCCAACGAATGAAAGATTATTGTGAAAATAAATCAGAAGGATTCGTTTAAATTACAATCGTCTTTTTAGAAAAGGCAGAGAGGGAGGGAGGGAGGGGGTGGGAGAGAGAGAGAGTTAGTTGGTGAGGACCAACATATTTTATTTTTACTCGTATGCAAATGCAGGCCTACAGTGCAGATTCAGCAATGCAAAATGGACTTATTATATTTTCAATAAATCCAACCCCACAATGGAACGACAGCCTCCGTGCAACAGCTTTGTTTTTTTTAAGACTTGTTTTTCCAAAAAACAGGGTCCCCAGCTTTGCGCACAAGGTGTCGCTTAATGAAATGACCAATTATCGCGGTAATTAGATCCAGGCATCTGAAGAAAAAAAAAAAATTCCCAAAGGATGTAACCCGGGAAGAGGTAAACCCCCAGTTGCCGCCACCGCACCACCACGCCACCACGAAACCCACAACCCTTTCCTTGCTGGTTTTCTCTCCTGCAGAAGAGGGGAGAGACAGAAATGCTGAGAGCCAAGTTAGAAAGTCAAGTCGCCGGAACCTCAAGCTGTGAGTCGTGGCGGGTGAAATGAAATTTAAAATTGCCAGAAAATTCAGACCTGGGGATATTAGCCTTGTTGCGTAATATGGCCCTACCCAGGGGTGAAATCCAGCAGGTTCTGACAGGTTCTGGAGAACCAGCAGCGGAAATTTTGAGTAGTTCGGAGAACCAGCAAATACCATCTCTGGCTGGCTCCAGAGTGGGGTGGGAATGGGGATTTTGCAGTATCCTTCCCCTGCCACGCCCACAGAACTGGTAGTAAAAAAATTGGAATTTCACCACCGGCCCTACCCATTTGGATAATTTTCCTATGTGATCCCAGTGTGCAAATCAATCCATCCTCCATTCCTCAGCTCTTAGCACAAGAATTCGTTACAGCTGCTTACTATCTATCCTATGGTCCTCGGATGCCGCTCTCACGGCGACTCGGCGGCAGTCTGGCCTTCAAATTCAAATTCAACATTCAAATTGTCAGTGCACAACATACGTACGATGAGATCGGTTGAGCTCCCTCAGTTGTGCACCCCCCTCCCAACACAATACAACTCACAGTCAAGACAGAAAATCCCTAACCCAATAAATCATATGAACAAAACCGCGCGATCAATATTGCACCCGTGTGAGCGTGTTACACGTTGCACCGGCCCTGCAAGTCCATCGTACTACGTAGTTACGATGTTATTTTGCATTCTGGAGTCTGACAGTCCACGGATTAAAAACTGTTCTTCAGCCTGTTCGTGCGGCTGCCGATGCTTCTGCATCTCCTTCCCGATGGTAGGAAGGTAAAGAAGTGCTGACCAGGGTGTGAGTCGTCCCTGAGGATTTTCCTCACTCTTCTAAGGCAGCGAGCCCTAGCGATCTCGCCTAGTGGTATCAAGGGACAGCTCATAACGTTTTGCGCATCGTCATATAAACTCACTGTCCGTCTGCTTATGATGACATGAAGATCTAGGCCCATGGGGGGTTTTCAACAACAGGCGAGTGGGATATTAAGTAGCCCATCCCGCAGAACATAGAATATTAGAGTTGGAAGGGACCTTGGAGGTCTTCTAGTCCAACCCCTTGCTCAAGCAGGAGTTCTTAGATCATTTCAGGCAAATGGTTGTCCACTCTCTTTTTGAAAGCCTCCAGTGATGGAGCAGCCACAACTTCTGGAGGCAAAGTTGTTCCACTGATTAATGATTCTCACTGTCAGGAAATTTCTAGGTTGCTTCTCTCCTTGATGAGTTTCCACCCGTTGCTTCTTGTCCTGCCCTCAGGTGCTTTGGAGAAGAGCTTGACTCCCTCTTCTTTGGGGCAGCCCCTGAGATACTGGCACACTGCTAGTCCTTCTTTTCATCAAACTAGACCTACCCAGTTCCTGCAACCGTTCTTTGTATATTTTAGCCTCCAGTCCTCTAATCATCTTCATTGCTCTTCTCTGCACTCTTTCCAGAGTCTCCACATCTTTTTTTTTATATTATGGTGAACAGAACTGAATGCAGTATTCCAAGTGTGGTCTTAATTAAGGCCACTCTTTAAATACTCTTTAAATACTCGAAAGAGCCATTTGGACTTGTTTCCCACAGAAAAGAAAACACCGGGAGCCACAAAACCTGGGTGGGCATGGCCAACTCGATGTCACTCACTTCTACCACTCACATGATTTGGATTTCGCCACTGAGCTGCCTAGTTGCCCCATCCTCGTGTAGGATCTCCCGCTTGAACAGGAGGGATTAGACTACAAGACTTCCGAGGTCGCTTCCAACTCTTGTTATTCTGTATTCCATAACACGATGCTCTGAACGGGGGGAAAAAAAAACCATCAAGTCCATCCGAAAGGAATTCTGGAAGTATTTTCAGTGGAGAGATGCCAAGGTTTTATCTCGGCCATCTCTGCTTTTCCTGGTTGGTCTTTCTGCTTTGGCCTGTTTCTTTTTGGCACCGAGATGCTTTGAACCGAGCGCTTCGGGGCCCCTTGTGATGCCTAGGGCAGCAAATGCCTGGCTTTGTTGGAGGGAAAACAACGTCGGGTCACACTGACCTCCGGAAGAGATGACAGGGAGCTCTGACTCACGACCAAAAAACATCTCTCTCTCTCTCTCTCTCTCTCTCTCTCTCTTTTTGCCATGGGGAAGACCTGGTTGATTTCCTCGGAGGAGTTGGCACCCACAGATCCAGGAACTGATATTGGAGGGGATCAATGGTGGATCGGGCCTGGAGAGAGGCAGGGATGAGCTAGCATGGGATAAGAGATGAAAGCTGGAGGGTGGGGGGGGAAGGATTTGGGAAGGTTTGCACATTGCAAGGAGCCACTGAGGCAAAGCGCATTGGGCCAGAACTCCTGGCTCACCTTTTTCTAAAAGGGCAAAAATGAGTTACTCTGGATTTCCAGGAATTATTGCTTGTGTCCCTGGGATGTTAAGATGTAGTAAAGCTTTAGCGGTGTTTTTTATAGGGGCAAAGTTCGGCTCCAAGCCCTCGGTGGGTAAGAACGCAAAGCTGCCGTCGATGGTTATCCCGTGTCTTAGCGCATTAAACAACTTGGGTGGAAGGAGAGAGCGAGACAAGATTTGAAAAACGATGGAGTATATATATATATATATTTCAATTCCTGAAATTTCACCCTGCCCAAGAACTGAGCAGTTAAAATTGTTCGATTGCTTCCCCCATTTTTTTGCTTTCCTTTCGAGCGATGAGGGACGCTAGTCCTCATCGTGGCTAGAAGAGACAGCTCTGCCGAAAGGGAAAGAAATTGGTTTCTCCAGTTCCCTCAGGCCTGGTTTCTGGGCAACCGATGGCATGCAGCAACAATAAAAATGCACACATACAAACAGAGAAAAATACTCAACACACACACTGTTGGATGGAAGGGCAGGGGAGGGGGAGGGGAGGGGGGGAGGGGAGGGAAGGAAAGGAGGAAGAGGGAAGGGAAGGGAAGGGAAGGAGGAAGAGAGAAGGAAAGGAAGAAGAGGGAAGGGAAGGGAAGGAAAGGAGAAGAGGGAAGGGAAGGGAAGGGAAGGAGAAAAGGGAAGGGAAGGAGAGGAGAGGGGAGGGAAGAGAAGGAAAGGAAAGGAAAGAGGGAAGGGAAGGGGAAAAGGAAAGGAAAGGAAAGGAGAGGAGAGGAGAGGAGAGGAAAGGAAAGGAAGGGAAGGAAAGGAAAGGAGAAGGAGAAGGAAGGGAAGGAAGGAAGGAAAGGGAAGGGAAGGAAAGGAAAGGAAAGGAAAGGAGAAGGAGAAAGGAGGGGAAGGAAAGGGAAGGAAAGGAAAGGAAGGGAAAGGGAAGGGAAGGAGGGAAGGAAGGAAGGGAAGGAAAGGAAAGGAAAGGAAAGGAGAAGGAGAAGGAAGGAGAAGGAGAAGGAGAAGGAGAAGGAGAAGGAGAAGGAGAAGGAGACGGAGGGAAGGGAAGGGAAGGGAAGGGAAGGAGAAGGAGGGAAGGGAAGGTGTTTTCTAGAAGGTGCTCCATCAATTCCCTGGGCTCCATCCAAGCCTCTCCACACCTATTCCCTGGGCCACTCCTGTCTGGCCGCCCTTTCCCCCAGTCAAGGTGAACAAGCTGCGGTAGCTTCTGCTTTGACTCAGCTCCTTGGCACCTACTGCCCTCCATGCCTCCCCCCTCCCCCCCACCCGCCAAAACCTGTAAGGCAGCGGTGCCAAGAGCAGACTCGCTCCTGGAGGCCCAGTGGCCTTTGTTCCTCCCCCAGAGGCTGTACCTGCGAGCAGGTGTTGCCTGGCTTAGAACATCCCACCTCCTCCTCTTTATTTCACCCTCTTCCTTCTCGCCAGCTCAGCTCCGTTTCCGGACCACAAAAGATGGGGAGAGATTAGCAGCAAGGAGGAGAGAGACAGAGAGAGAAAGAGAGAGGGAGAGAGGAAGAGAGGGGGGAGAGAGGGAGCGGTGAGAGAGAGGGAGAGGGAAGGAGAGGGGGAAGGAGAGAGGAGAGAGGGAGAGAGAGAAAGAGAGAGGGAGAAAGAGGAAGAGAGAGAGAGGGAGGGAGAGAGAGGAAGAGAGAGAGGGAGGGAGAGGGAGAGGGAGAGAGAGGAAGAGAGAGAGAGAGGGAGAGAGAGGGAGGGAGAGGAAGAGGGAAGGAGAGAGGGAGAGAGAGAGAGGGAGAGAGGAGGAGAGAGGGAGAGAGAGGGAGAGAAGGAGAGAGAGAGTGGAGAGGGAAAGGGAAAGGTAGAGGGAGCAGTGAGAGAGAGGGAGAGAGAAAGAGAGAGGGAGAGAAGAGGGAGGGAAGGAAGGAAAGAGAGAGAAAAAAAAAGAGAGAAGGAGGGAGGGAGAGAAGGAGGGAGGGAGGGAGGGAGGGAGAGAAAGTTCACTGAAGTTTAGCCCAGGTCAGACACCTGTTTCGAACCCACTCCCTAATCTGTGTCAACAAGAGAGTCCCTGCCCATGTGGAGATGGCCCCGCCCAATCAGCACAGCCTGCTAAACCTAACCGAAATTCAAATCTTTTAAACAAAAGGCCTCAACTGACTTCTTAACCGACATTGTTAAGGGGTGAAGGAGGTGGAAGGGCCCCTTGAGGCCATCAAATCCAACCCTGTGGGGCGCGGGCTCTATAAAAGAATCAAGCTGGGATTTCTGGATCCAAAAGGCCGCTTTCCCCCCCCCAAAAAAAGAAGCTGTGAAAAGAAAACGCCCGGCTTCTTTGCAGTGCTCTCTCTTCCACATACGTGGGGAAACGGCAGTCAGACTACAGAGCCCATCGCCCTGGGCCAGGCTGATCAGAGCGGATAGCTCAAGCGAGAGGCTTTGCCGCCGATCGGATATGAAGGTGGCCACCAACCGAGATGATTTGAAGAGCGAACGAGACCAGAGACAATCGAATTAGAAATT